GATAAAGGGGATATCACCACCAATTCCACAGAAATACAAACTAACATCAGAGAACAGTATAAACATCTCTACGCAAATAAACTAGAAAATGCAGAAGAAATGGCTAAATTCCTGGACACATACACCCTCCCAAGACTGAACCAGGAAGAAGTCAAATCCCTGAATAGACCAATTACAAGTTCTGAAATTGAGGCAGTAATTAATAGCCTACCAACCAAAGAAAGTCCAGGACCAGAGAGATTCACAGCCGAATTCTACCAGATGTACAAAGAGAAGCTGGTATCATTCCTTCTGAAACTATTCCAAACAATACAAAAAAAGGGAATCCTCCCTAACCCATTTTATGAGGCCAGCATCATCCTGATACCAAAACCTGGGAGAGACGTGACAAAAACAGAAAATTTCAGGCCGATATCCTGATAAACATTGATGCGAAAATCTTCAATAAAACACTGGCAGACTGAAGGCAGCAGCATGTCAAAAAGCTTCTCCACCATGATCAAGTCAGCTTCATCCCTAGGATGCAAGGCTGGTTCAACATACACAAATCAATAAATGTAATCCATCACATAAAGAGAACCAAAGACAAAAACCACATGATTATCTCAATAGACGCAGAAAAGGCCTTTGACAAAATTCAACAGCCTTTCATGCTGAACTTTCAATAAACTACATATTGAGCAAATGTATCTCAAAATAGTAAGAGCTATTTATGCAAACCCACAGCCAATATCATACTGAATGGGCAAAAACTGGAAGCATTCCCTTTGAAAACTGGCGCAAGACAAGAATGCCCTCTCTCACCACTCCTATTCAACATAGTATGGAAGTTCTGGCCAGAGCAATCAGGCAAGAGAAAGAAATAAAGGGTACTCAATTAGGAAAAGAGGAAGTCAAATTGTCTCTATTTGCAGATGACATAATTGTATATTTAGAAAACCCCATAATCCCAGCCCCAAATCTCCTTAAGCTGATAAGCAACTTCAGCTAAGTCTACATTCCTATACACCAATAACAGACAAACAGAAAGCCAAATCATGAGTGAACTCCCATTCACAATTGCTACAAAGAGAATAAAATGTCTAGGAATACAACTTACAAGAGGTGTGAAGAACCTCTTCAAGGAGAACTATACTGCTCAAGTAAATAAGAGAGGACACAAACAAATGGGAAAACATTCCATGCTCATGGATAGGAATAATCAATATCATGAAAATGGCCATACTGCCCAAAGTAATTTGTAGATTCAATGCTATGCCCATCAAGCAGCCACTGACTTTCTTCACAAAATTGAAAAAAACTACTTTAAATTTCATATAGAATCAAAAAAAGAGCCCACATAGCCAAGACAATCCTAAGCAAAAAGAACAAAGCTGGAGGCATCATACTACCTGACTTCAAACTATACACCAAGGCTATCGTTACCAAAACAGCATGGTACTGGCACCAAAACAGATAATATAGACCAATGTAACAGAACTGAGGCCTCAGAATTAACACCACACATCTACAACCATCTGATTTTTGACACACCTGACAAAAACAAGCAATGGGGAAAGGATTCCTGATTTAATAAATGGTATTGGGAAAACTGGCTAGCCATATGCAGAAAGCTGAAACTGGATTCCTTCCTTACACCTTATACAAAAATTAACTCAAGATGGATTAAGGACTTAAATATAAGACCTAAAACCATAAAAATGCTAGAAGAGAACTTAAGCAATACCATTCAGGACATAGGCATGGGCAAAGCCTTCATGACTAAAACACCAAAAGCAATGGCAACAAAAGTAAAAATTGACAAATGGGATTTAATTAAACTAAAGAGCTTCTGCATAGCAAAAGAAACTATCAACAGAGTGAACGAGCAACCTACAGAATGGGAGAAAAAAATTTCAATCTATCCATCTGACAAAGAACTAATGTCCAGAATCTACAAAAAATTGAAACAAATTTACAAGAAAAAGAACAAACAACCCCATCAAAAAGTGGTCAAAGGATATGAACAGATGCTTCTCAAAAGAAGACATTTATGCAGCCAACAAACATATGAAAAAAAGCTCGTCATCACTGGTCATTAGAGAAATACAAATCAAAACCACAATGAGATACCACACCGGTTAGAAAGGAGATCATTAAAAAGTCAGGAAACAATAGATCCTGGAGAGGATGTGGAGAAATAGGAACACTTTTACACTGTTGGTGGGAGTGTAAATTAGTTCAACCATTGTGGAAGACAGTGTGGTGATTCCTTAAGGATCTAGAAATAGAAATACCATTTGACCCAGCAATTCCATTACTGGATACATACCCAAAGGATAATAAATCATTCTACTATAGATACATGCACACACATGTTTATTGTGGCACTTTTCAAAATAGCAAGGACTTGGAATGAACCCAAATGCCCATCAATGATAGACTGGATAAAGAAAATGTGGCACATATATACCATGGAATACAATGCAGCCATAAAAAAGATGAGTTCATGTCCTTTGCATGGACATGGATGAAGCTGGAAACCATCATTCTCAGCAAACTGACCCAAGAACTGAAAACCAAACACCACATGTTCTCACTCATAAGTTGGTATTGAACAATGAGAACACATGGACACAGGAGGGGAACATTACACACTGGGGCTTGTTGGGATAGCATTAGGAGAAATACCTAATGTAAATGACAGGTTGGTGGGTGCAGCAAACCACCATGGATCATGTATAACTATGTAACAAACCTGCATGTTCAGCACATGTATCCTAGAACTTAAAGTATAATTTAAAAAACATATATGTATGTTACTGGTGGAGGGTGTCCAGGTTCTTGGTGTCCTGAACAAAGAATTGGGCACAATGAACAAATAAAGCAAGGAAAGAATAAAGACATTTATGGAAAATGAAAGTATACTCCACAATGTGGGAACAGGTCCAATCATAGGGGCTCAAGGGCCCCATTATAGAATTTTTGGGAGTTTACCCTCTAGAAGAGTCCTTTGGTTACTTGGTGTACACCCTATGTAAGTGAAGATGAAGAAGTAAAGGTACAAAGTCATTTATATGGCATACGCCCTATGGAGAGGATATTTCCTGTTATGGCTGAAGTGTAAATTGGCCATATGTTCCCTGCCTCCAATTTACATCTTTCTCCAGGTATGGAAAGTTTTCTGCTATTATTACTTTGAGTAAGCTTTCTACCCCTTTATCTTTCTCTTCTACTTCTTAAACTCCTATAAATCAAGTATTTGCTCTTTTGATGCTGTCACATAAATTCCATAAGCTTTTAAAGTTTATTTTCATTATTTCCTCCCTTTTCTACTTTGACTGTATATTTTCACCTAACCTGTCTTTGAGTTCAGATTCTTTCTTCTGCCTGATCAATTCTGGTATTGATGCTCTCTATTACAATTTAAATTTTGTTTCAGCTTCTGGATTAATGTTTGATTTTTAAAATTTTCAATCTATTAAGTTTCTCATTCTGGTCACTCACTGTTTTCCTCATTTTGTTCAAGTGTTTGTTTCTCTGTATTTTGTTGAAATTCACTAGTTTCCTTAAAAATGGCTATTTTGAACTCTTTGTCAGGCAGTTCATACATCTTCATTTCTTTCAGATCAGTCACTGAAACCTTATTTTGTCTGTTTGAGGATGTCATATTTCTCTGATTGTTCTTGATTCTTGGTAATGCAATGATTTCTGCATATTTTAAGAAGTACTTTAGTCTTGGTGGACTGGCTTTGTCTTGAAAGTCCTGCAGCAGCATGGCACTGGGTGCACCAGAAGCCCAGGGCAGATGCAATCGGCATGGCACTGGGGTGCACCAAAAGCCTGGGGTTGCTGAGGGCTGTCTGGAATCTGAGTTTATTGAAGTTGGCTTGATGATAATGTGGGCTGGAGATTGAGTCTGCCATGCAAGCCTGAAGTGTGGGGCTCTATGGTTCTGCCTGGAGCTGGGGAAGGCCTACAGCTCAGTCTGTGGATACCCACCTGGTGTATGGGCAGTTGAGGTCTGCCCTTTGTGAAGTTTTACTGTGGTGGGCCCAGTGTTGGGATCCAAGGCAATGTTCTATACTCACTTTCCTCTCTTTCCCCATGTTGAGGGTCCCTCACTCCAAGCTGTGCTGCCTGGGGTTGGTGGTGGGGTGATATGTGTAATATAAACTTGTTTTTTCTACCCTCTTTAATCCATCTTTTCTTATTATTGGGCTATAGCCAGGTACTGTGATCTTTCACCTGGTTTCCTCAGCTCTGTGAAGGTATTTGCCTGTTGTTATAGTTGTTCAAATTGATGTTTCTGTTGGGGGATGATTGCCAGAGAGTCTTAGTTGGCAACCTTGTTCTGCCTCTTTCCTAAAATATTTAAAAAGCCTCTTCAAAGGAGAGGAAGTCTGAATGGCCAATTTGCACATGAAAAAGTACTTAATTTCACTAGGAATCAGGGAAATGCAAATTAAAACCACAGTTAGGTATCATTACAAATCCACTAGATTAGAAACAATAATTCTGAAAAAATGCCAAGTATAGGAGAGGGATGTAGAACAAAGGAGATTCTTCTTATGTGCTACTTCATGGAATGTAGATTGGTAAAAACACACTGAAAAGCAGATTTGCTTTGCCAAGTAAAGTTGAACATTCACATACGTTACACCAGTAATTCCACTCAGGGATTTTTAAGAGAAGCTTATGAATATATGCACCAGGATATAAATATAAGAATGTTTATAGCAGCATTTGTGTGTAATAGCACCCAAGTAGAAACAACTTATGCCCATCAATGGTAAATTGAATAAACTATAGTGTATGTACACAATGGATTATACAGTACACACTATTTTTAAATAATAATTACAGATGGTCCCCAATTTATGATGGTTTAACTTACCATATTTTGACTTTACAATGGGTTTATCTGGGTATTAAATTCATTTTTGGCTTACAGTATTTTTGACTTACAGTATTTTTGACTTATGACAGGTTTATCAGATATAACCTCATTGTAAGTTGAGGAACATCTGTATTAATACTTGCTTGACTTTAACAGAAGAAAAAGTGAAACTGAAGGACTTGCTGAAACTTCATATAGACTTTTCTTTAAAACTAGAGATGTTAGTTCTCAAAAGAGCTCTTTGGAGGTAATATGAAAAATAAACAGAACTGCATTTTCCTCTACTTTTTGTAGGGGCAGCAGTTTAGTAATTAATAGTACATATAAAATCACAATGCTATAATCTTTATGGAATGTTCTTATGTGTGTGCCTGTGTGTGTTCCTATTTAAGTGCAAGTTTAAACTTCAGATAGTATCTATTGATTTCTTATTTTCTGTCTACTCAGAAAGCCATGGTGGGCATAGATTGTTTTTAATTCATGTTTAATTGATCTTGAATTTTCTGGCCTAACCCTGATATCAGAGTACAAGCGGTCTAAGACTACTCTGTGGACCTATTTTGTCAACTTATTTGTCATATAATGGAGGGAATATTTTCACTAGATAACCCACTGAGCTGCTGACAATTCAAAGTTCCCTTTGAATGTCTTGGAAACCAGGGGCTGGGCTCATTGGCCAGTTACATATGGCAGAGGGAAGGAGTGGGCCCTCCTTGGAGGCAATAGGACACCCCTTAGGTTGGAGGCAATGCTTAAAGCCATGCTATGTGACCAAGATCCAAGAAACTGCTAAGGGTCTGAAACCTGCCAAATCAGAAAGTTCCAAAGGCAGACACCAAAGTTAGGGTACGAGATCCAGAGTTTGGGGCCAGGAAAATCAAAGCATGTGTGAGTTGTGAACTGCAAAGCAGAAAAGGATACAAAGAAAGGCAAGAGGGTCTTGGAGAAGGTCCTGAGTGATTGATTGCTGCTCACAGTACTTAAAGCATTCACAATCTGCTATGACGTGCTGTTTAGGGGTCAGCAGGAAAGCAAGGCACAGGTGTTTCTGCAGTAGTAAAAGCTCGAGGTAAATCACTAGTAAGCCTGCTGACTGCCATGTAATTTAATGAAATCTCCATTTTTTTGACAAAGTATTCCATAGTCTGCCAGTAGGAAAGCTCCTTTGAACCCTCACTGAGCAGAAATCCAGGTCTTCAGGATGTCTTTCTGCACACATTTCTTTCCAAGAGTGAGTTGCTGTGCAGTGAGTCTTCTGGATTTATATTGGTATCTAAGAGTTGCAGTGTTTCTCAGTACTCCATCCACTGGCTTAAGGGACAGCAACTCTGAATGCCCCCAGGACCTCTTTTCACAGCCTATACTGGGCAATAAACTCAAAGAAAAACTTTCATAGTAAAAATACTTCACTTGTCCCCTTCTCTAACCCACATATGGGGATAAAACAAACTGCTCATAACATACCAATCCTTTTAAGAACAGAAGCCTAATGATTTGAATTCCAGTAGGTAAAGAAGGAAGCAATATTTTTATGTCCTCTTCACCTTGGAAAAGGGTTGTTGCCCATTTCTCCATTTATTTGGCTGGCAGCAGATGGGGAGGTAAGGGCTCCTCATGATCCATAGAACCACAGAGCCAGTCCCCTGTCAAGCCTACATCAAGAAGAGGTGTTCAGTAGAAAGCTGAGTGTTAAGATTTCACCTGGGCAGAAGACTCTGGGGTGCCATCTGCAGATTCCTGAAAGAGTGACTGGGACATGAGTTGTTGTGATCCTTTTTTTCCTGTCCTTGGAGTCAGAAAAAGGGACCAACTGCTTACCAATCCATCTTCTTTGAAATGAAGTGGATACTAATTCCTAATTTTTCCACTTCTCATACCTATACTGCACAAGTGTGGGCTCACTCCCGATCATTGTATTGTATTGTATTGTATTGTATTGTATTGTATTGTATTGTAT